TTAGCAGAAATTGAGTGACCTTGTCAGTTTTGAGCTGCGCTGAAAGAAAAAAAACTTATGGCCCCTTTTACACGATGCTGTCTGTTCTGATTAGCAGGGGATCCATGCACGTCAGAACAAACGGCACTCATGTAAAAGGGGCCATAAGGTCATTTTCTTGCTTTCAGTGCAACTGACAAGGACAATCGCAAGATGGAGGAAAAAACTGAACTAACTGGACCCCTGTCAGGTCTATGGGCAATCGGATGTAGGAGGACATGTGTCCATTTACATCCAAATACCTCCATTTCATCACGATCAGGTCTGCCAAAACTAAATTCTGTTCCTTTTTTTTTTTTTTTTAACAGACTTAAGGTGCCCACACAGCTTACCATAATCATACGATAATCGCGGGAAATCCCGCGATCGTACGATTATCGTAAGGTGTGTGGGAGCCGTGCGACCTCTGCTACTGTAAGGTCGCACCACTTTTGTCTTAGGAGCATGTTCGAAAACCCGCTGAGAATCGTACGATTTTCGGCGGGTGTGTAGCATGCTTGTAAGATAAAAGCCGGACGGGCTGGTGTGCGCAAGCGCACAGTGCCCGTTCAGTATTGCGGACGTCGGAAGACTGCCCCTCGGGGGGGGCGCGGCTTGCGGTCATCGGAAGTACGATCTGCCTGTCCAAGATAGGCAGATCGTACTTTTTTTAATTACCTTACAACCATCGCAAGACAAAAGTCTTGTGATGGTTGTAAGGTGTGTGCCCAGCATTAGAGACAGGGTTAATGAGATGTAAAATGACATATATTCAATTTCAGCTGGCTGCCCATAGAGTTACACTGGACTTCCGATCAGATCAAAGTGATAAACTGACAGGCAGGCCTGAAAGGGACTGTCCATGTGAAAGGACCCTATCTTTCTTCTGCAAACTGCTAATCTTCCCATCCCCATGTATTGGGGATGAACAGAGGCAGCCATATTTGTAGTTCAGCCCGAGTGACAACCATGGCTCCCTCCACAGATACAGCAGAGGAGTAAGGGTAGCCACCCACATGTGTGCACCCAGATACAGTCAGAGGAACACTTTGTAGCCAAAAATAAACATTCAGTATGAAGTGTGTCTAAAGTTGTGCCCCTTTCCTCCTTTGCTGTCCCTGCTTTCTGTGCCTCCTCCTCTCCAGTTCTCCCCCCTCTCCCCAGCCTTGCAGATGTCCTTGTATATGGCAGTCAAAATTAAACAACATTGGTCCCCCAGTTCAGTAACTGTACCTCGTAATTTCTAACTTGTAAATATTCTGAATTTTTGGAACTGCAGCCAATCAGGAAAGGCCTGACACTGTCACATGACAGTATCTTAACTTCCTAACTGGTTGCAGTTCCAGTGCGTCCGAATAGTTACACGTTACAATGATAGAGTACACTGAATGAACTGCAGGATCGATGTTGTTTATTCATTTTGACTGTCATGTTCCCACTGTGCAGGAAATGGCAACACCAGGCAGTAAAATGTTGCGGGACAATGAGGGGTTCCTGCGGGACAATGAAGGGTTCCTGCAGGATTTGTGTCAGAATCTGGGACTGTTGGGAGGTATTGGTTTGGGGATTAAATATGGTTTAAAATCCAACTACAGCCAAACTCTTTTTTTAGAGTTGGACAGAGTAAGGAAGAGGAATAACCTTTGCCATTTTGGGTGCAGTTTGTGTGCCACTTGGGAGATTTCCCCTTGATTCTTGTTGGGACAAGAAGTGGTGGGAAATGTCTCGAGTTAGGGCACAGACCGTAACAAAATGTATTTTTTCACTAAAATGGGGAAGGATAAGGACCCTTACTTTTAGTGCTTTCTTCCTGTCCCAGAGACAACTACTCCCCTGATTTCTTGCCCTGCTGCCACAAGCTGTCCAAGAGACAGAAAGTAAGGAAAAGTCTACCCAACATAATCATGAGCAGCAAAAAAAAAAAAACACTTATAATTTCCATTCTCACGCTAATAAAATGTGTCATTGTGTTTGTCTGTGTCCTCATTGCAGAAATTCACATTGCCTGATGAAGGGACCCTGAGTGGTCTCAAAACGTTAATTCACTATGTGATATTATGATCGATTAACATCAATAAAGGCATTCTTGATGATGAAGATGACCATGGGCTGGTGACTCACTCTTCACTATGTATCTAAGCGGTGACATTGGTCTATAACTAGACTAGAACTAAAGGTCTATATAGTGGAGTCAGGTCCTCCTTCCTCCTGCTGGTGATCCCTCTAAAGATGTTCCCCAGAACTCTAGTTGCTTTTAACTAGGGATGCACCGATATATCGGCCGTCGAAACATATCGGTCAAAAATTGCATTTTGGCATAATGCCGAAAGTGCCATTTTGTGGCCCATACAGCGGTGCATCCCTTCTTTCTCTCCTCCCCACTGGGTGCTCCTCTGTGCCCCAGTGGGGAGGAGAGATACTGTCACAGGAGCCCGAGCGCTGCGGGAGGAGAGCATTGTGACCGGCCAGTGTCTCGTCCCACACCGCTCAGCCTCCTGTCACAGATCGGCAGAGCAGTGTGTGGGCGATGAGCCCCCAACAGTAATGTAAAAAAAAAAAAATGAATAAAAATATACAATTTTATAAAAGAAAAATATATTTTTAAAAATTTGGAAAAAATAAAACATTTTCGGTTTCGGCCCTACATTTATTTTCATTTCGGTTTTGAAATTCTCATTTCGGTGCACCTCTACTTTTAACACTGCTTGCCCAAACTGTTTTCTCATCTTGCAAACATCTAAAATGAGCACCCCATATCTTTTTCTTCTGTAGAACTGGCCAACATTTTACCCCCAGTACTGTACTCTATGTAATGAAACAAAGTTCACAGTGGCCTGTACACATTTTACTCTGGTTACCTATCACAGAATCTGTACCGGCACTTAAAACTGATTGCCCTTTTCTCACAGATTTGAAAACAAATTGTCACAGATCATAGTCGATACTGCTAAATATTCACAAGAAATTTCCTGTGCTGCATTATACTAAAACTTGCCCTAAAATGGCTTCATTCAGGGCGTAATATTAAGAGATGCTTTGTCTGCTAGGCCAGTGGAACACTACATGGTTGTATGTTTTCGCTTCATTTCTTGCTTTTTTCCCCATTACAGATAAAAACAGAAATATAGAATGTTCCGAGTGTTATCCGAACAAAAGCATATTGAATTAAAACAGACCCAGGGGTCGCATCTTTGTGTAACAAATGTCTAACCGACAGGCAGATTTTCAATGGAAAGTCTTTTATGTAACACATAAATGGAACGCATTTAGCAATTAGGTCCTGCCTGGTGCTCCTGGTCAAGAAAGCACAGTTAGATCATTTTTAATTTTCTTTATAGGTAACTGGATTATATAGAGTTTAATTATGTTTGCTTTCTTTATAAGAGTTAATTATTCAAAATGTCAGGAGCTTTACAATTCACCTGAACGTTGCACTGTGTAATGTTTTTAGATGTATTCGACAGTAAGAATCACTTGCCAACTTTCTACCGCCTGCTTTAGTTTGGCTCCATATCAACTGAGCATGTGCAGGAGCTTCCAATACATTGCTGCAGAAGTTATATTATCCCCCAACAACAAACCTACAAGAGCACCTCACTAGCAAAACATAAAAAACAGACCCCTGATATTTCCCTTTTAAAAGAGAAAAAGAGATTAAGGACACAGAGTCCTCAATCTCTTTTTCTGCAGCCCCTGTTATAAATGAACAGGAATCCTCTATGCTGAGTGCTCCTGTTCATTCATAACTTGTGGAGATAGTATGTGTACTATAACTACAATTATGAATGAACAGGAGGTGATATATATCACTTCCCATTTATTTATAATTGAAGATATAGTAGACATACTATGTCCTCAATTATTTACAAACACTCCGCGATCACTGAGTGTTTTTACTTGCTCTCCATCCTGTGTCACTGAGCGTGCGGAGCCCAGCCTGCTGTGACAGCACTGGATGTCTCCGCCCACACACCGCTCTGCTGATCTGTCACAGGAGGCCGAGCGGAGTGGAAGGAGAGACACAGGTCGCTCACAGCGCTCTCCTCCCGTAGCACTCATCCGCCCGTGGCAGTTTCTCTCCTCCCCGCTGGGACACAGAGCAGCGCCCAGCGGGGAGGAGAGAATAGGATGCACCGCTATATCGGCAAGAAAATTGCACTTTCGGCATTTTGCCAAAAGTGCCATTTTCGTTCGATATGTTTCGGCGGCCGATATATTGGTGCATCCCTAATTTAGACTATTCCCATTACTGTGACTCTTCCTTTCTGAATACTAAAGTTGGCCATAAACAACAGAGTCTGACCACCCTCAACATCTGTGTTGGTTCACTAAACAAACAGAGAACTATTTGCGGTTAGGACAATAGGGAGGGAGAAGGTGCACTGCACAAACCTCCAAGACTGCCTTAGCAAGAAAAAAAGCAATAGCAACTCAACCAGACTTTCTAATATGAGTGTTATATTCCAAGGAGAGTCTTGGGAAATAGTGTTTTTATGTAGCTTATAGATATTAGATTATTTCCCAATGTAGAGACTGTGAACTATCATCTATGGGCCTCTTTAGGCCCAACCTTCACTCCTTTTCATAATGTTGTATGTCATTTTGCGCTTCCCTGATTGAATTCCTAATTGTAGAACTAGAATCTGTGGACCATTTTTGTATCAGTGCAGCTCTGACCAGGTGAGTATGGTTCCTTAAAGTTTATCCTGAAAAATTCGAAAGTTTTTGCAAATAAAGTGTATTAAAATACCCTTCACAAGCCAAAATAGCATTGTGGCCTCAAGAGATTGGCAAATATAACGATTTATCTGTTTGATGGCAACCGCTGCAAAGTTACCTGCTGGTCCTGTATTGTGTGGGTGCTAGAAGGAGCCCAAACCCTATACAGTTATCTACCTTGTTATCAACACAAGCAAATTAGTCACTTATCAGAAAGTTTTGATTAGTGGCAATACAGAACAGTACAATTATTAGGAACTCACCTCTATTAACATATACAAGGAGAGCAAAGTAACTGCAAGGTTGTAAACAATTAGGTGACCCCTGAGAGAGAATGCTGGTCTATTCTTCATATATTTGGTCCCCAACCATATGGATAGGATATAAAGGATAGTCAGTGCAAGGGTGGGAAGGCAGGAATCCAGCATAAACCATCCTCTAACTCTCGGATCTGGAAAGACAAGGAAGGACGAGAATGAAAAAACAGCACACAAAAAGTGTGCAATTATAAGTCTTGGCACTACAAGCGATAAAATGTGGTATGGATTCTTACCATGTAAAACATTCATCTGAAGTGAATAGGCAGAATGCAACCAGAGATAAACAATTAAAGAAGATTCATATAACATTATGTGCTGTGCTATCAGCAACAAAACCATTCTTAAATACATTTTTGGTCCTTAAAGTTAATTGCGCTTTGCCTGCTTCTATATTTATATCCCAATCACTGCCTCATTCACATGCTGGAGCAAAGTTAAAGTGGAACCCTGGGCTGAAGTCTGCATTAATACATATATAGCAGCAGTATAATGTTGGTCTCTTTTCTCCCAGTGATCCGATTGAAAACTGTACCATTTTAGTAAGTGGTAAGGTGAGAGGCTGCAGCAGGGGCTAATCTGTATCATGTGCAGTGCAATCTACAGAGTAAACTCTCCAAAGGAATGAATTAGACACGCAGGCACGGGGCAGAAGATTTCTTGACAAGTGGCAACTTTAAAAATGACTTGTTTGATCAGGGACAGGTATACAAATGGCAGGTGAGGGCTTAGGATACATTAGGCTGAAAAAATGAATGTAACTGCAGAAGTAACTACACTTTAAATATATGCAACCAGGCATATTTACTCAGATTATAGGGGTTTTCTACCACTTCAATGCTGTTTTTGAACTGTTTGAAGGACCAAAAATGTTGTAAAGCTGTAACCCCAAAAGCTTTTTTTTTTATAGTAGAGGAGTCATTGTGAAGTATTGCACTGGAGTGTTCTTACTAGACAAAGGAATGACAGTAGGTGGATCTTAGGTCAAAACCCAGGCAAGTCAGCCCCTTAGTTACAAATAATGCCCTGATTGCAGCTGAATTGGCCCGCACTGACAGCCTCCTTCCGGGTTCAGGCAAACTGAAGTTTGAATCAAACGCAAGCTCATCCCTACTAAGGGTGGAGCTAAGGTTTGAACTGAACCCGGTCCGGATCTGTACTTCTCCAAACCTGAAAGCAACATGGGGCCACTCACCTAATCAGCTGCAGGCTAGGGGATTGCCCGCCCCTCAGCAGCCCATGAACAAAAGGGCTGGATGCTTGTGCTGACATCATTGACATTATATGGCCACACGGTCATATTATATCAATGACATTGACCACATATAGCCATGTGGTCATATCGAATCTGTCATGTTACACATGCTTTGTGATATTCCTTTAAATATTATTTGCTTTGTCTGTCTCTGGTATTGCCTCCACCTCTAACCATTGTTCAGGTTTTCCTCTTTGTCCCTTCTCATTATGTTCCAGTCTGCCATCTCAGCCACATGTCCTTTGCTGAAGTGGATCACATTATGATTTTGACCTATCCTATGTTCGCTGTTTTAAAGTTCTGCACAGTTTGGATTCAACTTCTCAATGTTCTTCTAGGTGTCATATGGATTGAGCCAACTGTCTGTCAACTTACTGAGATTAGAGTTATTGATATCTCATTACAACTGTAAGTTACAGAGATCACACTTTTATAGCTGAGACTGGGGAGGCAGAACAGAGTCAATGATGTCACAGCATCCCGCCACTTTGCTTACGTACAGGTGCGGGCAGGGAATTCCCAAGCCGCAGCTGATTGGGCACCAGTGGAAGGAGCTTCCTTCCGGGTTCAGACGAGCTCAGGTTTGGGCAATATATAAAACTTTTGTTTCTGGCTTTAGATAAACTTAAGAGGAGACCAAACTTAAAAGACCAAACCCTTGCAGTAATACCATTATAAAAATTATTTTGAAAAATGTAGAATGGTTGTTGTCCTTTAAAACTACATCACAATGCCATATGTATTTAACTAGCATTCACTAAACTGACAAATAATAATCGCATCAATCACTAATAATTATCTTAGGAAATTGTATTCATGGGATAATGAAAGATGAATTACGGAGCAGCAAACAGCTGTTGTCTTCCTGTCAAATCATTTTGTAGCCATGTGCTTCCCCCAATACTTTTCTGATCACAATGTTTGTAATAAAATGTAATACATTTTTAGTGTTGCATTTCCTGCCCAGATTCTAAAAGCATCTTAGTTGTCATTTGTGGGAATATTCTTGTTGTAATAATGTTACAGACACATTGCATTTATCCATCTAGATCACAAACCTCAGAGCATGAATAATGAATACACCATTAGATAGCAGAAAATCTAAACAGTGGAATCTCATCATTGTCTTTCAAACATGTTTTATATCCAGCCTCCCGATGTTGCTGTGAAACTATTGTGTAAGGTCTGGTGTTCCTCAGAGTTACAGACATAGTTTTATGACAGTAACGTACGACAATGTTGTAGCTTTTGAAAAAGGATGGCATCTATTAGGTGATATCTGACACCTCAAGAACCATATGGTGCCAAGCTCACTAATGGGTACTATGGTGTATTTTAGGAAAATATAACATGATGCCTCAATCTCGGCCATCAATAAATCATTGCATACTTCAACTCTCCCCATTACCAATAAGCTTCCATACAGATCTTTCGGGACCAGTCACACATGCAGCAGTGACTGGCTTTTTTCTGCACTGGACCAACCCCAATCACTGCTAGAGCATTTAGAACACAATTGTTTTTTATGTGGTCTGTTCACACCACAACACATGTGTGATGTGTGCACTGCATGGCACTGGAGGTCACCGCAGTGCACTGTCATGGGGAAACATGAATAAATGTTTACTGTAAAAAAGGTAAATAGTGCTTTACATTGTAACAATGCAAGACACTGTGGCTCACTGCTGCCAACCGCCGCAACATATTAATTTATGTGGAGCGCAATGCGGCAGGAAAAATCTGATGTTTCGTGCACAGTTCCAAATACCCTACAGCCTCCAATTATAGCTTATCGGGCCCACTGTGTATAACGTCATATGTTATTGTTCCATGTACTTGATGGTCAGGTGGAGTGGTCAGGTTATGTTGTCAATGGGCACTCTTAACAGTTACTATTTCCCAATTACATTTCTATAGTCTACAGATTCTACATTTTCTTTATTTTAATAAACTGAAATCTACTTACCCCTTGGCCCAAACAAATAATCAACAAATTCATTTACTTCTCGGTCTAGCCTCTGTATGTGCTCCTGAAAAGAAAACAGAACAAGATTAATTTGCTTTGCACATTTCACATTAAAATACGCAGGGAAGGCACGGATGATGTTTTAAGTAGGAGATATCTGCAGGGCTATTTCTTAACCATAATGAATAATCCAATTATTGAAATAAATGATTGGGGTACAATGTTCACATCTGTATTTATGAAGCAACATCTCTAAAACCAATACAATTCTTGTAGCACAACACCAGGCAGATATAAAAGACACAAATGAATGCAGCACCATATTCAGTAATAAATCATTAAATGCAAGAAGTGCAAGTACCTGAATATGACCTGATTTCAGCTTTGTAGTCCCTGTGCAGCAGAGATCAGACTGGGTGAGGGAGAAGCAGCACAGGAGCCAATCAGCTGTGCAGCAGTATAGGGAGCATGCTGATAAGGGGAGAAAGCAGAATGACAGATACATACGCTCATTAGTCTGCTGCTTTTTCTTTCACTGTCCAGTCCCAGATCAGGGGAGAGGCAAGACTTGTAAGTGTTACCGAGCTGCACAAATGAAAAAGCAGGTCTCTCGTCCTTCTAGACAAAGCTGTGTAAATCTTAGGACTGGATGTGCAGAAATACAAATCCTTTGGCAGGTAACAGCACTCCCTAATAGGTATTTCATCTGTGTATATAGCTGCATGGAGTTCAGCTTTAAAATGAATGATCACAGAATAGTTAGAAAGCTGTCTGTTCATTTTTCTTTAATGTTCCTATTTCTGTCTATGTAACGTAAGCAGTATTCGGAAAGGTGCACTAGCACTGTTACCATAACATTGTGTATATTAGGGACAGGTATCTGTGCTAGAATAATCTTATTATAATTCAGGGAGGTTCATTTTTAAGGTCTGCTCTTAACATGGCAGATCAGATGCTATTGGGACCTCACATATAGCAGGTGGAGAATTTTAAAGATTCTGGCACTCATGTCAGCAGATGATTTCTAGAATCAGTTGGGGATCAGCTCATTTAAGCTGGCCATACACTCTGTTCGAATTTCTCGTGTTCAGTCCTGTGGAAATTCATCGATTCACCCATGCAGCTGCTTAGAGGAATCTCCCCTGACGGCTATTGTATTTCCAGGCAGTGCCGCTATCTAATTGGACGCAGATGCTGTTTGGCAGACTGGCTCTTTTGGCAAAAATGTATTTTAAAAATCGCCCTTTTTTTGTGCTGAACCATCTTTTATTTGCTTAGTGTATGGCCAGCTTTAGGGCTTCACTTTTGGGTCCAGGGCCATCCCTCAGACGGCATCTCTTTGGGTCAGGTGGGGGGGCAGCAAGCAGGGCGACATGGCCACTCTGCTGCAAAATGTTTGGAGTGTGCCTTTGATCCCTTTTCCGGCCAGAGCGTCCCAGATTGCTAAGTGCCATACACATCTCCCCGTCCAGCTCTTAGCAACCTGTGATGCTCTGGCCATCATCTCGCCCGGCTCCTGGCAACCAGTGATGTCAGTGAGCTGGGATGAATGCTGACCAGAGCTGGAACCAGAGCCACCCATCCGGCCCCCAACCCCCCCACCAGCCTCAGGCGGTGAAATGGCTAGGGGCACCCCTGTTTGTGTCAATATAAAAAGTGTCAGAAGTTCTGTTTATTGAACACTGAGAATTTCCTACTTGTGCCCATGGACAAAAAAGAGAACATATTAACTGTGTGGGCAATGTATTTACCTTTTTCCCCTCATCATGGCTGACCACAAATTCAATTATAGGCAGATGTCTCACCAGCTATCATTTAGGGCTTGCTCACATGATCAGCATTGGGTTGTGTTGGGCTGTGTTGCCCAATGTGGTCCCAGCACAAGGACAAAGCAAAGAGCTTTATGTCCTATGGCTTTAGCTCACACCAATGCGCTGTGTTGTTATGCACTAGAAAAAAAGACATGTAATATTTATGTGGAACACGTCACAAGTGCTGCAGCATAAAAGCAGGTAAAAAAAAAAGGGGTTCTTACAATGCGGTGCAATGCATGTTAAAAACACATTGCAGAGCGCTGCAGGTCATTTTGCGGTAAACAAATAAGTTGTAGTGCAATGTACGTTATACTTGTGCTAATGGTGTGAACAAGTCCTACATATCTGGCCTTCATGGGTAACCAAAGTCAACAAAAAGACCTGCCTAGAGATTTAAGCCGCTGTGCCACTGCAAACTAAAGAAAGCTTTTTGTTTGGATCAGAGTTCTCCTTTAATAGCATTCTTTTTATTTGTCGTTCATATCCACAAAGCCTCAATTTGACCTTAGACATAAACAATAAAGACAAATGTAAATATTTAGTGAGATAAACCCAATTAATATAATACAGTTGACACATGGGAAAACAAAACTGCTGTATTCATTTAAAACTAATTAGCCTTTCTACACAGATTTAGAATCTCCCGAGCATCCGAAAAGAAAATTCCAATTAGCCAATTTCAGTCAATGAGCCAAACTATAAGGAGTGAGAACTCAACTTTTACATTTTGAATTTCTGCCTATATAGTATGCAAGGTACACATACTATATGCATGATGTGGAGCAGGGGTAGGCAACCTTGGCAATCCAGATCTTATGGAACTACAAATCCCATAAAGCGCTGCGCAAACTGTTGGCGCTATATAAATCCTGTATAATAATAATGAGGCATTGCAAAAATCTGACAGAAACAGGCATGACTCCCAGAGGTAGAGAAGCCTCCCTTGGATGTATAGAATGATTTAGAACAAAAGTAAACAATGGGTAATGGAAAAATAGTACAATTAGGGCATATTCACACTGGCAATTTGGGGCCAGCAGAGGATTCCTGTGGCAAGAATCTGAACAGGTGGTTGTGGACAGCTGAGGCCGCTCAGCCTGTACAAAACAATGACAGGCTGACAGGAGCTGCAACTGCCTGCCAATATTTGCAAGTATGCCCACATCCAGTGGATACCTGCGATTAGGGAAGGATGACTGCAAGTGCAGATACATGCAAATAGCAGCGGACAGCTGTGGCTCCTGTCAGTCTGTTATTGCTTTGTACAGGCTGAGCGACCTCAGCTGTCCACAACCACCTGTCATTCCAGCTACCAGAATCAGATTCTTGCAGCAGAAATCCGCTGCCGACCCTAAATCACCATTGTGAATAATGGTAATTATGGCCTCACCCATAAATTCCATTCTCAATTTGAAATCTGCAATGTATGATAATGTTCAGGTAACATTTGATTTTTCAGACTTTCGGACGCCTTCATACAACATGCATAGAAAACAATATTCTAGGGATGCACCGATACCAATGCTAGTATCGGTGCCAATATAAAGTAGTTGGGTGAGTACTCGCCCAAATGCTCTGATACCTTCCCCGATACCGGAACTTCCGCTCAGAAGATTTCCTCTGACTGGCAGTGCCGTAGGGCCGGGCTCAAAATTTCCACTCGATCACCTCTTCGGTTCTCCTCCCCTTCTCTTCTCCTCTTCGGCCGCTCTATAGCTGCAGCGGCTGAGGAGTCAGGGGTGTGGGATTCGTATCGCCTGACGCCGTGGACATGCAGTTCCGAGCGTCGGGCAGGTCGTTTTTTTCTACATTTAGCCCTGCTTCGGGCAAGCAGGGCTACATGCAGAGCGGGGAGCCGCCGCTCATTTTGTACGGCTGTTACAAGTGATCAGCTACACAGATCACTTGTAACAACCTGCCTCTCCTTGTGGGATACAGAAGGAACACTTTACCCTCCCTTCCCCAAAATGCGGGGCTGTCCATGGAGTCAACTCAGGTGCGCGAGCAATAGCTCCCGCCAGCTTCCTCATCACTCCTTCCCGGACGTTGCTGTACTCATCAGCTAGCCTGCGTGCATTATGAGAGTAGCAGCGCCAGAGTAGATAAATACCCATTGGGCAGTACAGACACCTTCCTCATCTCACTGCTGCCATCAGGCCTGACACGCTTCATCCAGAAAGAGGGAGGGCCCGAGCAGAGTCCTTCTCTCCAGGGCCCAGGGGTATTCCATAGGACGGCTTCTGGGCTCTACACACTGACAGTGGTGTATAAGGGCAGCTGCACTGCCTGCTTCCACTAAGGTGCAGGGCAATCTCTGGGATCACTCTGTCCCGCATCCTCATCTTCAACATGACCATCTTATGTGTATCTGAACTGCTGGAGCACTACAAATCCCAGCATGCCAGGAGCTGGAAAAGATGCAGGTATCCCAGAGGAGCAAAGTATTTAATCCCAGTAAGTGTGTGTGTACCCCAGCTGCTGCATTTAATTGGAGCAAAGAGGATGGAGCGCAGGATCTGTTGCCGAGAGCAACCAATCAGGTTACAGCATTCATTCATACACAAGCGTGATCAGTAAAGGAGTTTTCCAACATGTAGACACACACACGCAGATCTATCTGATGAACAGTATCAGTCGTTCCTGGCTCAGGGATTGCACTCCTTTTAGTAGGCCTTCTCCTTTCCCCCAGGCACATACATGTGTGCTTTAGGCCTCATTCACACAGCGTTAATACGGGCCATACACATCCGTGTGGCGTGCAAGGCCGTATCGGGCCATTCCCGGAGGGACAGGTGCTGCGTTTGATTGCACACAGCAGCCTGTTCTTCCCTATGGACATGGAGGACACCAGCAGGAGAAGAAGAGGGCACCTGAATCAGGTCAGCCATGTGCACTGTAAGTCCCTGTTATTTCTGCCTTAAACTGCTTGACCTCTGCACTGTGTGTTGTTAATGATCTCTGTACTCTGCGTCACACTGCTGGCTTCTGTATTTGCCATTACACCACTGACCTCTGTATTGTGCGTTGTTACTGTACTCTGCTTCACACCACTGACCTGGTGGAGTTAAGTCCTGGGCAGGGTAGGGTTTAGGTGGTGCAACTGGTGGCGAGTAACTTTTAAGGCCTGGCTAGTAGCTCAGGACCTGAAATTTGGAGCCCTGCCGTAGAGGAACATGGACGAGGAAGCATGAAGCAGGCTTTCTGGCCAATCAGGAAGCTGTGGTGAGGGTAATGACTCGCCGCCCGGCTT